AAGAGTTTGTGCCTTTTGCATTTGTTGATGTTTCAGGAGTGTCCAAGCCGCATCCCCAGGGTGGGAGGATGCTCCCCCCGGTGCCATCATTTCCATTTGACTCCTCAAGAGTTTCTATATTTTGCATTTATTGATGTTTCAGGTGTGTCCAGGCCTGCATCCCGGGGTGTGAGGATGCTCCTGGGGCTCCCCCCGTCATCGTTTCCGTTTTACTCCTCAAGAGTTTTTGCCTTTTGCTTTTATTGATGTTGCAGGTGTGTCCAGGCCTGCATCCCGGGGTGGGAGGATGCTCCTTGGGGCGCCATCGTTCCCGTTTGACTCCGTGCTCCAGCCCTTAATCCCCGCATTGTCCGCAGGGGCTTTTCCAGCTGCCGCCGCTCAATTAACCGATTATTGTCCCCATGGCGGGGCTGTCACCGGCAGGAGGGGGCTCAGGAGGGTCCCGGGCACCGGGCAGGGTGAAGGAGCCGTTCCCGAAGGAGAAGGGAAGGTTCTGGAGTCTCGGGTTGTTGTTAATTTCTGCCCCAAGATGTGCAGGATGTCTCTGTTTCAGCCCAACTGAAGAACGAGTCTGGACTCTTCACTTTTTGGTCTTGAGGTTGTTTATTAATTCTTATCTGTAAAATTTTCTTTCTGCTCAGCAGGGCAGCCACAGGCACTCTGTGTTGTCCTTTTATACCACAAACTACGTGTAACATATTTACACTTAATTCCCAATACCCATCACCTGTGTTAGACAGTGCACTTCTACTCTAAACCAATCCCCCCAGCAGATCCATCCTCCCAGGGTGTGAAATGCACTGGGGGGCTCTGGGTCTGTCCCCACAGCTGCTGGCCCGTGACCCCCATGGGCTGGGGTTGTGGGCACAGTGACCCCATTGTGTTTTGGAGGGTCTCAGTTGATTTTTGGGAGTTCTCAGGTAATTTGGGGGGATTCTCAGTTAATATTTGGAGGTTCTCAGTTAATATTTGGGGGTTCTCAATTAATTTTTGGAGGTTCTCGGTTAATATTTGGGGGTTCTCAGTTAATTTTTGGAGGTTCTCAACATTTGGAGGTTCTCAATTAATATTTGGGGGTTCTCAGTTAATTTTGGGGGGTTCTCAGTTAATATTTGGAGGTTCTCAGTTAATATTTAGAGGTTCTCAGTTAATTTTGGGGGGTTCTCAGTTAATATTTGGAGGTTCTCAGTTAATATTTGGGTGTTCTCAGTTAAATTTTGGGGATTCTCAGTTAATTTTTGGGAGTTCTCAGTTAATTTTGGGGGGTTCTCAGTTAATATTTAGGGGTTCTCGGTTAATATTTGGGGGTTCTCAGTTAATTTTGGGGGGTTCTCAGTTAATATTTGGCAGTTCTCGGTTAATATTGGGGGGTTCTCAGTTAAGTTTTGGGGGTTCTGAGTTAATATCCTGTAAGAGGACAGTGCCAAGGACCCACACACAGCTCTGCCGCCTGTGGCCATGTGGGAATGGAAAGTGCTGTGGAGCCTGATGAGAACTTCCTGGGGAAAAAAAAAAAAAAAAAAAAAAACAAAAAATCCCTAAAAAACCCAAACACAAAACAATTTGGAACATAATCTCCATGAAACTGGAGAAAACAAAACAAACCCGTGCTGGAGGATGTGGGTTGTGACTGGGGAGTGCGACCCAGATGGCTGCTGTGGGACAGGGGAAGAAAAGAGGAAAAATTTTACTGTGAGAGGGAAATTTTGGGCAAACCATCACTGTCAGAACAGCATTTTTGTGCCAAGGCTTCCTTTTGGTCAAGGATTTCTGCTCCTGGGCAGCACCTGGGTGCCCTGAGCTGGGCAGGGGGACTTTTGCTGGAGGGGCTCCGGGTGTGGATTTGCAGCCTCAGGTTGGGCTGCAGATGCCAGGGGCTGCAAATCCTGCTGGAAATCTTTAAAGGAGGGAGTTGTGGTGTTGTGGCAGAGGTGCAGATGATCCTGAGGGTCTGAGTGAGCCTCCCTGGGCTCGACTGAAGGCTGGGACCCCGGGGCTCCGGTTCTGCCCCCATGGCCGTGGATGCAGCTCCAGGTCGGGCTGCAGATGCCAGGGACTGCAAATCCTGCTGGAAATGTTTTAAGACAGAGTTGTGGTGTTGTGGCAGAGGTGCAGATGATCCTGAGGGTCTGAGTGGGCCTCCCTGGGCTCGGTTGAAGTCTGTGGGTCCAGGGCTCCAGTTCTGCCCCCACGGCCGCAGCTGCAGCCCCATATTGGGCTGGAGATGCCGCAGCCTGCAAATCCTCCTGGAAATCTTTAAAGGGGGAGTTGTGGTGTTGTGGCAGAGGTGCAGATGGTCCCGAGGGTCTGAGCGAGCACCCTGGGCTTGATTGAAGGCTGGGGCTCCGGGGCTCCGTTTCTGCCCCCATGGCCGTGGATGCAGCTCCAGGTCGGGCTGCAGATGCCAGAGGCTGCAAATCCTGCTGGAAATCTTTAAAGGAGAGAATTGTGGTGTTGTGGCAGAGGTGCAGATGGTGCCAGGGGTCTGAGTGAGCCACTCTGGGCTCGGTTGAAGGGTGCGGGTCTGGGGTGGGTCGGGGACCCTGGTTCTGCCACCGGCTTGGGCTGCAGATGCCAGAAGCAGCCAATCCTGCTGGAAATCTCTTTAAGGAGGAGTTGTGGTGTTGTGGCAGAGGTGCAGATGATCCTGAGGGTCTGAGTGGGCCTCCCTGGGCTCGGTTGAAGTCTGTGGGTCCAGGGCTCCGGTTCTGCCCCCACGGCCGCGGCTGCAGCCCCATGTTGGGCTGGAGATGCCAGGAGCTGCAAATCCTGCTGGAAATCTTTAAAGGAGGGAGTTGTGGTGTTGTGGCAGAGGTGTAGATGGTCCTGGGGGTCAGAGTGAGCCTCCCTGGGCTCGGTTGAAGGCTGTGGGTCCGGGGCTCCGGTTCTGCCACCGTGTCGGGCTGCAGATACCAGAGGCTGCAAATCCTACTGGAAATCTTTAAAGGAGGGAATTGTGGTGTTGTGGCAGAGGTGCAGATGGTCCCGAGGGTCTGAGCGAGCCTCCCCGCGGCTCCGGTTCTGCCCCCACGGTCACAGCCCGTGCCCTCGGTTGTGAAACCTCCTGGAACGGAAACCCCTTGGAGCCCTCGGGGACAGCTCGGCCTTGAGCAAATCCCGCACCGATGCCGTGGAGGGGAATTGGGCCGCGCCAGGGGCTGCAGGGGCAGTGCAGCAGCGATGGGACACCCCTGGAAGCTGCCCCGTGCCCTGGGGCGAGCCGAGCCCCGGCACAGAGGGGCCAGGCCGGTCCTGCCGTGGCGTGTGGAAGCAATTTGGGGCCGCCGGACGTTTCCGCTCCCCGCCGGCCGGTGCGGGGCCCCGCGGACGCGCCGGTGCCCGGTGGCGGCTCCTCATTATGAGCGCAGGATGCGGGGGCAGCGCTGCCAGACCCCGGCCCTTCCCTTCCCTCCCCTCCATCCCGATCCCGGTGCCGGTGCCGGTGCCGGTCGTGCCCCGAGCCCCGCGGGCAGCGCGGCCGGAGGGCCCGGGCGGAGCACACAGCGCCCATTGAGCCGGGCCCGCCCGTGTGCAAACAGCCCCGGGCCGCCCTCAATGAGCCCTTTCTGCAGCCGCTCCCCCGGCCGGGCCTCCAGGATGCCCTCCCGGCCCCCGCTCCGCCTCTCGGCCGCCGGTGCCCGCACGGGGTTCCGCTGGTCCCCGAGCGCCGGCTCTGGCTCTGCTAATTGGGCTAATGAGCTTTAATGAGCTCCTGGCTGAATCTCCGCGGGCTGGTGCCCTCCGTCCATTCCTGTCACCCTGCAAGGGGCCCTTTGGAGGGCAAAGCTGTTTGTTTTGGGGTGAAATCTCACTGATGGGAGGCTCCTGGGATGAGCAGCAGGAACTGGGGGGCTCCTTGCAGCTGCAGGTCCTTGGGGTGCCCCCTTGGTGCTGGGGTGGGGGTCACCTCCTGCCCCAGGAACTGCTGGGACCAAGGTGATGCCCCAAGAGGCAGCACAGGGCAGTCAGTCCGTGTGTCCATGGCAGTCAGTCTGTCTGCTCTATGGCAGCCAGTCCGTGTGTTCATGGCAGTCAGTCTGTGTCCGTGGCAGTCAGTCCGTGTGTCCATGGCAGCCAGTCCGTGTGTCCATGGCAGTCAGTCTGTGTGTCCATGGCAGCCAGTCCGTGTGTCCATGGCAGTCAGTCCGTGTGTCCATGGCAGTCAGTCTATGTGTCCATGGCAGTCAGTCTGTGTCCATGGCAGTCAGTCTATGTGTCCATGGCAATCAGTCCGTGTGTCCACGGCAGTCCGTGTGTCCATGGCAGTCAGTCCGTGTGTCCATGGCAATCAGTCCGTGTGTCCACGGCAGTCCGTGTGTCCATGGCAGTCAGTCCATGTGTCCATGGCAGTCAGTCCGTGTGTCCATGGCAGTCAGTCTGTGTCCATGGCAGTCAGTCCGTGTGTCCATGGCAGTCAGTCTATGTGTCCATGGCAGTCAGTCCGTGTGTCCATGGCAGTCAGTCTATGTGTCCATGGCAATCAGTCTGTGTGTCCACGGCAGTCCGTGTGTCCATGGCAGTCAGTCCGTGTGTCCATGGCAGTCAGTCTGTCTGCTCCATGGCAGTCAGTCTGTGTGTCCATGGCAGTCAGTCTGTCTGCTCCATGGCAGTCAGTCTGTGTGTCCATGGCAGTCAGTCCGTGTGTCCATGGCAGTCAGTCCATGTGTCCATGGCAGTCAGTCTGTGTCCATGGCAGTCAGTCTATGTGTCCATGGCAATCAGTCCGTGTGTCCACGGCAGTCCGTGTGTCCATGGCAGTCAGTCTCTCTGCTCCATGGCGTGAGGAGCACACAGAGCGTCCCAACACAGCTCCTGCATCCCCACCTGGCCATGGCATTCCCTGTTCCCACCTGGCCATGCAGGGGACACCTCCGTGGCCACCACAGTGGCACAGCCATGGGTGTCTGTCTGTCCTCGCTCCTGCCAGCCCCTGGGCACTGCTGTGGGGCTGTGGCAGGTGAGGTGACGGCGCTGCCCCTCTCCCTCTGCTCTTCCCACAGGCTGCTGGGCAACAACAAGATCACGGTGCTGGAGAACGGCTCCTTCTTCGGCCTGCGGGCTCTGGAGAAGCTGTGAGTGGGGCTGGGGGGCACCGGGGGGCTTCCAGGGTGGGTGGGAGCGCCATCACTCACGTTCTGCCCCCGATGTGCTGCAGCAGGAGCAGCCCTGCAGTGCAGAATTTGCCCCTGGCACCCCCGGGCATGGCGGGGTATGAAAAGAGACATTGTCCCCCCGAACAAAGTCAACTTTCTTATCTCTCCATGAAAGGCATCTCTATGGAGGGAGCTGCGAGGAGCGGAGATTTATGGCCCCCAGATGGGTTTGATCTGTAGGTATGCAGGCGCGGGGACCGGCACTGAGGGCGTTTTGTTCCCCGCTGCCGTGGCCCTGAGAGGGTCTCACACATTCCTGAGCTCTGTGGGCTCTGTGGAAACCCCCACAGGAGAGGCATCACCTTGGGGACACCACCCCACAGAGCAGATGCACGTAGCTCTGCACCCCCCTAAAGGTCTCCATGTCCTGGGGGTCTCAGCTGTCCCAGGGATGAGCAGGGCTCTGCACCCCCCATGAGTCTGGGGTGCCCCTAAAGCTCTCCATGGCCTGGAGGGTCTCAGCTGCTCTGCACCCCCATGAGCCCGGGGTGCCCCTAAAGGTCTCCATGTCCTGAAGGGTCTCAGCTGCTCTGCACCCCCCTAAGGGTCTCTCCATGTGCTGGGAGAGCATCTGCCCCAGAGAGGAGCAGGGCTCTGCACCCCTGTGAGCCTGGGGTCCCCCTAAGGGTCTCCATGTCCTGGAGGGTCTCAGCTGCCCCAGGGAGGAGCAGGGCTCTGCACCCTCGGGAATCTGGGGTCCCCCTAAACTCTCCATGTCCTGGAGGGTCTCAGCTGCTCTGCACCCCCCGTGAGCCCAGGGTGCCCCTAAAGCTGTCCCTGTCCTGGGAGAGCAGCTGCCCCAGGTCGCCCCCTGCCCACACGGGGTCAGAGGGGCCCGGCCCGGGCGGGCAGCGCTCCCCCAGCCCCGCCGCGCCTGATTGCCCCCGGCAGGAGCCATAATTGCTCTCATGGGGTCGCTTCGGGGCCGTGCCCCATGGGGAGCCCGTGTTGGGGGCTGCAGCGCCCCTCGCCCCCCATCCTAAAGCTGGCAAGGTCTCTGCCCACCCTGGCACCCACCGTGGGGGCTTTGGGGTCGCAGCAGAGCGGGGTGAACCCCATTCCCTGCGTGTCAGGGGTGCCCCCACGGCCTCCTCCCCCCGGCTTGGCATCCGCGGTGATTTGTAGCGGCGTAATGAGATTAATGAGTCTGAGCGGGGACGGTATGCGGCGGCTCATTAGCAGGGAGAGCCCCGCTTGGGAACGGCCCCGGGGGGGTGCCAGGGGGCTCGGTGGGTGACAGCGGGGACAAGGACGGGCTCTGTCCGTCCGTCCGTCCGTCCGTCTGTCTGTGCTGGGCTGCAGTGGACGCTCAGGGAGTTGTGGGCTCACTCCAGGCAGTGATTTAGGATGGTTCGGGTCCTCGGGGCCGGGGTTTGCTGCACTGGCGTCTCTGTGCCCTCGTGGTGGTGATTGGGGTCCCCTTGCAAATGTGGGGTCCCCTTGCAAAAGTGACACTGAGCTGCTGCTGCTGGCTCTCCTGCCCCTGCCTGGGGGAGGAGGGGGCTCGGGACCGCAGGAAATGCAAAAGCAAACGCGCAGGGCAGGGAAAAGCGGAGCCTTATCGGAAACCAGCAGCAGCCCCGGCCCGCGGGAGGAAGTGCCGGGGTGAGGAAGGGAGGAAGGCCAGCCTGGCTGCAAACCCTGGGGCCCAGCATGGTCCCAGGCCGGTCCCATCCCCATCTGGGGGTCCTGCAGCCCCTAGACCCCCCAAACCTGAGCCAGGTTTGTCAATGGAGATGTATTCTGGCTGGCAGGGTGTTCTAGGGGGGCTCTGGGGGTGGGAATCCCTGGGAAACCCAGCAGGATGGGGGCCAGGGGGTTTGCAGGATGGGGATTTTCAGGATGGAGTTTGCAGGATGGGGGATTGCAGGATGGGAGTTTGCGGGACGGGGGTTTGCAGAATTGCAGGATGGGGATTTGCAGGATGGGAATTGCAGGATGGGGGTTTGTGTGATGGTGATTTGCAGGACGGGGACCAGGGGGTTTGCAGTACGGGGTTTGTAGGATGGGGTTTGCGGGATGGGGGTTGTAGAATTGCAGGACGGGGTTTGCAGAATGGGGATTTGCAGGATGGGGTTTGCAGGACGGGGTTTGCAGGATGGGGATTTGCAGGATGGGGTTTGAAGGATGGGGGATTGCAGGATGGGAGTTTGCGGGATGGGGATTTACAGGATGGGAATTGCAGGATGGAGGTTTGTGGGATGGGGTTTGCAGGACGGGGGTTTGGAGGATGGGGTTTGTAGAATGAGGGCCAGAGGGTTTGAAGGACGGGGGTTTGCGGGACGGGGTTTGTGGCAAGGACACTCCTGCTGGTGCAGGTGGCGGTGCAGGTGAGAGCGGAGCTGTTCCTTCAGCACCAGCGCTCACCTGTGCGCACCTGCCTGCCCAGGACGGCCGTCTGTCTGTCTGTCCGGGAGCGGCGGCCGTGCTGGGCAGGGCTCTGGCATCAGCCGATAGGGCCGGGGTGACCCGGCTGCGTCTCCTCTGGCCGAGGGGCCCCTCTCGTGTCTCTGCCCCTCGCACCCCGCTCCCCATCCCGGTTTGGAGCTGTGGCTCAGGGGGTGTCCCCAGAGCTGCAGAGACCCAGCGAGGAGCTATAAATCAACACGGCTCCACATGGATCCCATTTCCTCTCCCGGACAGCCCCGGTGCTCTGCAGAAGCTGCCGCCGGTCCCAGAGGGTGCCCAGAGCGGCCGATGCCACCAGTGCTGCCCACGGTGCCACCAGTGCTGCCAGGCGAGCCCCTGATTAGATGTGCGCCTGTAATCAGGCTAATTGCTCCAAGGAGCTGCCCGGGGCTGTGCTCTTATCGCGCACAGGGGAGATAAGCCGGCGGGAGGAAGCAATGTGGGGCTGGTGCCAGCAGCCAGAGCCAGCGTGTGGGGACACCCACAGCGCACCCAGGGGCAGCAGATGCCCCTTCCCTGCATCCCTCAGAGAGATAACGAGAGAGAAATGGGATGGAAAGCTGCTCAAAGGCCTCGCAGGGGGTGGGCAGCACCTGGAGGGGCCATGGAGTGTAGGAATGTCGGGGGGTAGGACAGTTGGGATGGATGAAGAGGAGAAATCCCTGCAGCCAGGTGGTGGAATTTGGGGTTTATTGCAAAGGGCCCTGCTGGGAGCTGCCAGGCACAGCTCAGAGCAGGCCTGAGAGAAGAGAGGGGGAGAGAGGATGAGAGGGTAAGAGAGTGAAGTTCCCCTTACAATACAATAAATCTTCTTCTGTGTTGAATATTCTGATTCTCACTAACCAATCTAGTCCAAGATACAAATCCTACAGCATTTCCATACAGCCTATAAGAATCATTACATTACCACACTGTGTTACATTTTAAACCCTACAAACTCCTCTTTGGGCCCCTTCTGCCAAGCTGTAGGGTCTGCTCTGACCCTTGGAGCTGTCTGCAAGCAGAGGGTGTTGTTCCATCAAAAGGGGATTACCTTCAGCCAGCCACACCATTGTTTTCCAGTTGTTCAGTAATTGAGGGATCTCAAAGCTTGCTTTCATTTCCATCTCGCTTATAGTTTCTATATTCTCAGAATCTTTTGCCAGACAATCATATTTTTAAGGCTTTCCTGTTCCATCTTCCCCAACAATGGAGGGGATGGGGTGGGGGTGGCACGGGTGTGCTCATGCTCTCAGAGCTGTGTCTCCTGGAGATGGGGCTCCCCCAAAACACCCCCCAGAGATGGGGATCCCTGCAGCACACCCCAGAGCTCTGCCTGTCTCCCCCCAGGGACCTGAAGAACAACCTGATCAGCACAGTGCAGCCAGGCGCCTTCCTCGGCCTCCCCGAGCTGAAGCGGCTGTAAGTGCTGGGGCTGGCCCTGGGGACAACAACGGGGACACTGGGGCATCCCCAGCCCTGATGGCCCCTCCGCTCTCCTGGCAGGGACCTCTCCAACAACCGCATCGGCTGCCTCAGTGCCAGCGTCTTCCAGGGCCTCCACAACCTCCTCCGGCTGTAAGTGGCTCCCTGGGGACATCCTGGCCAGCCCTGTCCCCTCTCCTGAGAGCCAGGGGGTGTCCCTGGTGTCCCCACAGGTGTCCCCTCTCCCAGCAGCCCCCTGGCCACCTCCATGCCATCTTTCTCTCCCATTTCACAGGAACATGTCTGGAAATATCTTCTCCAGCCTCCCGCCCGGTGTTTTTGACGAGCTCCCCTCGCTGAAAGTCGTGTGAGTTGGTGCCCTGGGATTCCAGCACCTGGGGAGGGGTCCCTGCCGAGGGTCTCAGGGCTGGTGGGTGACACCATCCTCTTGCTTTGCCACCATCCCCTTGCTTTGCCACTCTTCTGAGGGTCTCAGGGCCTGTGGGTGCCCCAGCCCTGCAGTGACACCATCCCTTGTAGGGACTTTGCCACCTTGCCAAGGGTCTCAGGGTCCATGGGTGCCCCAGCCCTACAGTGCCAGCATCCCCTTGCTTTGCCACCCTTCTGAAGGTCTCAGGCCCTGCAGTGACACCATCCCCTTGCTTTGCCACCCTGTAGTGACACCATCCCTTGTAGGGACTTTGCCACCTTGCCAAGCATCTTAGGGCTGGCAGATGTCCCAGCCCTGCAGTGACACCATCCCTTGCTTCGCCACCATCCCCTTGCTTTGCCACCCTGCCGAGGGTCTCAGGCCCTGCAGTGCCACCATCCCTTGCAAGGACTGTGCCACCCTGCCAAGGGTTTCAGTGCCACCATCCCTTGCAAGGACTGTGCCACCTTGCCAAGGGTCTCAGGGCTGGCAGATGTCCCATGGCTACCCCTGCCCTGCAGTGACACCATCCCTTGCTTTGCCAGCCCTGCAGTGACACCATCCTGGGCGGGTGGGTCCCCCAGCCCTGCAGTGCCACCATCCCTCGCAGGGACTTTGCCACCCTGCCGAGGCTCTCAGTGCCACCATCCCCTTGCAGGGACTTCGCCACCGAGTACCTGACGTGCGACTGCAACCTGCGCTGGGTGCTGCGCTGGGCCCGCGAGCGGCCGGCGCAGCTGTCGGAGCGCACGGCGTGCGCCTTCCCCGGGCAGCTGCGCGGCGTGGCGCTGCGAGGGGCGCGGGACGGGCAGCTCCGCTGCGGTGAGCCGGGGCCGGGGCGGGGGCGGCGGCGGCGGCGGCGGCGCGGGCTCACCTGTGTCCCCCGCAGCGGGAGCCCCGGAGCTGCACACGCACCAGCTGATCCCGTCGCTGCGCCAGGTGGTGTTCCAGGGCGACCGGCTGCCCTTCCAGTGCACGGCCACCTACCTGGATAACAGCACGCAGATCCGCTGGTTCCACAACCGGCAGCCCGTGCGGGAGGATGAGCAGACGGGTGTCATCGTGGAGGAGAGTCTCATCCATGATTGCACCTTCATCACCAGGTCAGAGGTGGGGCCGGGATGGGAGCGGGGATGGGATGGAGATGGAATTGGGATTGAGATGGAATTGGGATGGAGATGGAATTGGGATGGAGATAGCGATGGTATGGGAATGGAGATGACCACAGGAGTCAGGTGTGTGCGTACCTGTGGGAATCCACAAAATCAGAGGGTTTTGGGAAAGCTGCAAAAGGCCTCAGAGACAGCAGAACTGTGATTGGAGCTAAGCAGCAGCCATGAGATTGGTCAGCAGAAAAATTATTTAAAAGAACTACAGTAAATAAAAATTATTTATGTAGAAAAGCAAGGACAAATAAAACAGTAATCTGTTTATTAACCCTTACCTAGAATAACTCTCTAAGCTACAGAAAAGTTTATCTAGCAAGATATTAGGAAGGTTGAAGCTTAATAATGGAGCTCTGTGTGTTGTGTTTTAAGGCTTACAAGCAGGTATTGTATTTGACATAAGCAAGCATTGTTTTAACCATGTGTGCTTATAGGGGTTGGATATAAATACTGTCAATGTGCTTTTACTTTGTGTGATTGGTCAAAAAACTTATAAAGTGAGTTGTAACATTAAATTCTGGGTCTGCTGGCTGGGATGTGAGCTGGTGGCATCTTCCCATTGTCATAACCATGGAATGAGCCTGATGCTGGAAAATCAAACAGCTCAAGGCACGTTCCCAGCAGTCCTGTCCTGTTTGTGATTTGTACAGAGCCCCCAGCTGGGGTCAGGTACAGAGTGCTGTGGGTGGGCTGCAGAGTGTGGGCACCTTTGGTGCTCCATGGCCTGTGTCCCCCTGTCCCCAAGCCTGGGGGATCACCGTGCCAGCCCCTCTCCTGTGCCCGCAGCGAGCTCATCCTCTCCAACATCCACGTCTCCGCCAACGGCGAGTGGGAATGCGCCGTGTCCACCTCGCAGGGCAACGTCAGCAAGAAGGTGGAGATCGTGGTGCTGGAGACCTCTGCATCCTACTGCCCTGCCGAGAGGGTCACCAACAACCGCGGGGACTTCAGGTGAGGCCCCGGGTGGCACAGGTGTGGCGGCAGGGGGGACACACGGAGAGTGAGTGGTGCGTGCGGGGCCCCGCTGGCCGCAGGTGACCGCGCGTCTGGTAGCGATTACCGGGGCGGCTTTTGAAGGGCTTCCCGTGCCGGCGGCGCAGCCTGGCTCCAGCAGCAGAGGTGTTGGAATTTCTCTGGCGCGAGACGAAAGGCTCCGGGCGGCCGCCGTAACCCCGGCGGGGCCCTTACGGAATATAAATTATTGGCACACGCAATGTGGATTAAATTAGCGGTGCCCCCCCTCTGCCCGCTGCTTTCCCCCTGTGCTGCTGGAGCCGAGCGGGACATGGGGCTGGGGAGGGTGAGGATTTTGGGGGAGCACCACGCCAGCATTCCCAGAGCCCAGGGGTGCTGAGGGGGTTGCAGTGTTGCGGTGTGATGTTTATAGCCTGTTTCAGTCATCCTGGTTCTTTCCCCAGGTGTGCCAATTACCTCTCCCTTGCACAAAACCGCGTGGTTGCTGTGTTTTTTAACCCCAGGGAGAGGGAAGGGTTTAACCCCAGGGAGAGGGAAGGGAAGGGATAGGGATCCCACCAACCAGGTAAGGTAGGGGGAAGTCTCAGGGGACAAATGACACCTGGATGGCCCAATGTCCCCAGGGCTAAGAGGCATCTTTTGAACTTTGCCAATCACTCCAGCCCTTGCTGGAATGCCAAGATTGACAGACAGCTCTCAGCAAGGGAGGGGAATGGAGAGGTTGTTGGCACACCTGGGCAAGGAACCAGGATGACTGAAACAGGCTGTTACATCACACCGGCGCACAGGGGCAGCACGGGGGGAGCAGGCTCGGGGCAGGGCTGCCCCGGGGTCACCGTGTGGTGCCCACCGCAGGTGGCCCCGCACCCTGGCGGGGATCACGGCCTTCCAGCCCTGCCTGCAGCACCCGTTCGCCGCGGGGCCGGCGGGCGCGGGCGCGGCGGGCGAGAAGCAGGCGTGGCGGCGCTGCGACCGCACCGGGCGCTGGGAGGACGGCGACTACTCCCACTGCCTCTACACCAACGACATCACCCGCGTGCTCTACACCTTCGTGCTGGTGAGTGGGGGGCCCGGGGGCTCGGCTGTGAGCCCCAGTGAGCCCCCAGTGACCCACCGTGGCCGTGCCACCCTGCAGATGCCCATCAATGCCTCCAACGCCCTGACCCTGGCTCACCAGCTCCGCGTCTACACGGCCGAGGCAGCCAACTTCTCAGACATGGTTGATGTCCTCTACGTGGCCCAGATGATCGAGAAGTTTATTGGCTACGTGGACCAGATCAAGCAGGTAAGGAGCACTGCGGGTGTCCCCTGCCTGCCCCAGTGCAGCCTGGTGTTTTTGGGGCAGAAAAGCGTGAATTGGGGTGTTTCCTCGGGGGACGGCGGTAGCTCTTTGCAGAGCTGCTTGCTGTCCCCAGCTGACAGACGTGATCGTGGAGATGGCCAGCAACATCATGCTGGTGGACGACCACATCCTGTGGATGTCCCAGAAGGAGGAGAAGGCCTGCTCCAGCATCGTGCGCTCCCTGGAGAGGATCGCGGCGCACACGCTGGGCAGCAACTCCCAGCACATGGCAGTGGTGAGGGGGAGCGCAGGGGGCTGGGTGGGGTCTCTGGCCGTGCCAGGGGCTCTGTGCCCATGCCAGGGCTGATGATCTCTCCGTGGTGCTGGCAGAACTCTCGCAACATCGCCTTCGAGGCGTACGTGGTGAAGCCCGAGAGCTACGTGGGGCTGAGCTGCGTGGCCTTCCAGCGGTGGGATGGGACCCCGAGCCCCCCAGGACGGCCCACCCAGGCCGAGCGGGGGGCAGAGCCCACCCCTGACCAGCAGCTCCGGCTGCGCTGCACCACGGGGCGCCCCAACATCTCCCTGAGCAGCTTCCACATCAAGGTACGGGAATGACATTTTTGACAAAATATTTTTGGTCAAATAATTAAACCATATATCCCTACATTATCCAAATCACTTGTCATCAATACACTTTCAATTAGTCTTCCTCTATATTTCCTAGTATCAAAAACAATAATCAACCATCATCATCACTCTATAACCACCCCCAAATAGACATGTCCCTGAGCAGCTTCCACATCAAGGAATGGGCTCGGGGGGCTGGGGTTGGGGGCTGGGGTCGAGGGGATGGGCTTGGGGGCTTGGGGTCAGGGGCTGTGCTTGTAGGTACCCTCCCATCCCACATCACATCAATCCAAAACTCCTCCACATGAAAACATCTCCTCATAGCCCTCCGCATAATCCCCATGATGCTTCTAATCCTTAAACCCGAACTAATCTCCATCATCCCCATGTGCAAGTATAGTTTTAACCAAAACATTAGACCATGGCTCTAAAAATAGAAGTTAAACCCTTCTTACCTGCCGAGGAGAGGTAAAACCAGCGAGAGCTGCTAACTCTTGTATCTGAGTATAAAACCTCAGTCTCCTCACTTTCAAAGGCTAATAGTAACCCAATGGTCTTAGGAGCCACTCATCTTGGTGCAAATCCAAGTGAAAGCAATGGACCTCTCACTAGTCCTAAACCTCAAAAACACCCCCAGCACAATCACAAACACATTTAAAGCTTCCTTTTTAATCAGGGGGGTCGGGGGCTGGGGTCTGCCCCCGCTCACCAGTGCCTGCACCCGCAGAACAGCATCGCCCTGGCCTCCATCCAGCTGCCGCCCACCCTGTTCTCCAGCCCCATCCCAGCCACACCCGGGGCCGACTGCAAGCTCCACCTGCTGGTGTTCCGAAACGGGAAACTCTTCTGCAGCACCGGCAACTCCTCGCGCCTGGCCGACGATGGCAAACGCCGCAGCGTGGCCACGCCGGTCATCTACGCCGGGACCTGTAAGGGCGGCATGGAGGGGGGCTTGGGGTGCCCCCTGGGGCTCCTGGGGCATTGTGCTGGTGCTTGGGGTGCTCCATGGGGCTCCCTGGGGCGTTGTGCTGGTGCTGAGCCGTCCCTGGGGTCCTCATGGGGAGGTGGCAATGTGTGGATGTCCCCTGTGCCCAGCCCCTCTGAGGGTGCAGGTGGAGGGGTGTCACTTGTGCTGCTGAGCTGGTTTTCTGTGGCTGCAGATGGCTGTGGAGTGGGGAACCTGTCCGAGCCGGTGGCCGTGTCCCTGCGACACCCCGGGGAGGGCACGGACCCCGTGGCTGCCTACTGGAACTTCGAGGTGCTGGGGGGCATGGGGGGCTGGAGCGCTGAGGGGTGCCAGCTGGCTGCCCGTGAGCCCAACGTCACCTCCCTGCACTGCCGGCACCTCAGCAACGTGGCCGTGCTCATGGTAGGTGTGGGGACGGCACCGGGGGGGGGAGGGAGGGTGATTGTGGGGGTGTCGGGGGCACAGGGCTGCTCTGTGGGGTCTGACGGGCTGTGCTGTGCTGTGCAGGAGCTCAGTGGCTTCCCCAGCGAGGCACAAGGCGCTGTGGAGGTGCTGCACCCAGCCATGTACACCTGCACGGCCGTGCTGCTGCTCTGCCTCTTCACCACCATCATCACCTACATCGTCCACCACGGGTGAGGGAGTGTCCAGTGCCTGAGCTGCTGCTCTGGGGGCTGGGCTGGGCTGGGGGTCTCTGTGGGCAGTGGGAGCAGCTCCCCAGGTGCCCCAGCTCCCCAGGTGCTTCTCCCCATACCAGGAGAAGGTGTAGGGGCATGGCCATGCAGTGACACGGCCCTTTAGGACAGGGGTTCTCAGGACAGTGAGGGAGCACATTCTCAGAGAATGTGCTGCCCAACAAGTGGCCCTGGGTCCTGCTCCTTTGCCTGTGTGCATGCACGTACCTGTACATCCCCTCCAGGCTGCTGGTGCCTCCCCCAGGTGCAGCATTTGTGGCTCTCTCAGGACCAGGTAGGATCTCACAGGTGCCCTCTGTGCTCTCGCTCTTGCAGCACCATCCTCATCCCGCGCAAGGGCTGGCACATGCTGCTGAACCTGTGCTTCCACATCGCCATGACGGCCGCCGTCTTCGCGGGAGGCATCACCCTCACCGGCTACCGGGCCGTGTGCCAGGCCGTGGGTACCGGGCAGCGCCCAGCCCTGTGTGGGCACCGGGCACCGGGGGGCTGCGGCATCCCCGCGCCAACCGCCGCCTCCTCCCGCAGGTTGGCATCATCCTGCACTACTCGTCGCTCTCCACGCTGCTCTGGATGGCGGTGAAAGCCCGAGTGCTCTACAAGGAGCTGAGCTGGAAGGCGCCGCAGCAGCCAGACAGGGATGCGTCCCAGGCAGCCCCCAGACCCATGCTGCGGTACAGACCCCTCTGCCCCCGCCTCCAGCAACCCTCTCCACCCCCATCCTATTCCCTCTTCTATCCAACAACCTCAGAAATACCGCCAGCACAATCAAAACTTCCTTCTTAATCAGCCTAATCCCAATAACAAATTACATCCACTCCGGAACACAAAGCCTCACCTCCTTCTGGGAATGAAAGTTCATCATCAACTTCAAAATAAGTTCATCAATAAAATCCCCATCAGGCCCTCAGAGGCTCAAGGGGCTGGGGTGGGATTTGCTGCCCTGGACGAGCCCATGCCGTGCTCTCCAGGTGTCGCTGATATTTACCCTCCCCGCAGGTTCTACCTGATCGCTGGTGGCATCCCCCTCATCATCTGTGGGATCACAGCAGCTGTCAACATCCAAAACTACCACGACAACAACCCCTAGTAAGTGTCCCTGCTCGACCCTTCCTCCCTCCCATGTGGGTGGCCTCTATCTGCTGGGGCAGGGAACTGGTGGCACTGGGAATCTGGAGAAGTTTGGGGAAAGGTCAGTGAGTTTTTTCCTGAGAGTTACTGGGAAAAAATCGTCCAGGCAGCCGGCACAGCTCCACAGGGCCGATCTCCTCTACTGGGACTAGTAAATGCTTTAGCTGGGTGTGGGGAGTAGCTCTGTTATTCCAGGTCATGTCAATTGGGCTAGAGTTTGGCATCAAGACGATCTTGTATTAACAGACATTTTTCAGGTGTAAGCTGAATGCTTTTGTTTAAGCTACATCTTGGTAGCCTAAGTGCACCTTGCAGTACACTTACCTTGTTACAACTTACCTTGTTACGACTTACCTCATCTTTGGCTGGATAACTCATGAGCTTATGAGAGCCCTGCCATGAGGGCAGAGGTGCCCTCTGAGCCGCTCCAGGCCGCTCAGAGCCCCTCTCCTCCCGCACAGCTGCTGGCTGGTGTGGCGGCCCAGCCTGGGCGCCTTCTACGTCCCCGTGGCTTTCATCCTGCTCGTCACCTGGATTTATTTCCTCTGTGCCGGGCTCAGCCTCCAGTGCCGCCCCTCGCACCAGAAGGACATCCCGGAGCCGCTGGAGCCCCCGCCGCGACTGGGGGCCACCGGTGACCTCCTGACAGACTCTGGCTCCATCTCGGTGACGCTGAACTCGGGGCCACCCTGCCCTGAGGGGGACGGTGTGTACTCCCTGCAGGTGCAGTTCTGGGCTCTGGTGGCCACCCACGCCCTGTACGTGGCCCTGTGGACGTTCGGCGCCATGGCCGTGTCCCAGCGCTGGTACCTGAGCATCGTCTTCAGCTGCCTCTACGGCGTCACCGCCGTGGCGCTGGGGCTCTTCATCTTCATCCATCACTGCCTGCGCCGCCGGGACGTGCTCAGCTCCTGGTTCTCGTGCTGCCCCTCGTACCGCAACGCGCTGCCCATGCAGGCCTACGTGCACCCCGGGCTGGGGCCGGAGGACGGCTCGCAGGTCTTCATCGGCTGCGAGCCGGAGGCCGCTCGCTCCGGAGCCTCCTCATCCTCCTCACCCAGCAGCGCTGGCTCTGCCGGAGGCCGCTGCAAGCTCACCAACCTGCAGGTCGCCCAGAGCCAGGCGGAATCGCGGCCGCCGCCCTGCCCGGAGCCGGACACTGCCGATGGGAAGCCAGTCAGGCACAGCAGCAACGTGCACGGCCGCAGGAGCCACCGCGGCAGGACGAAGCCGTGCCGCGACGGGAAGCACCACCGCTTGAAAATGCTGCGGGGCCCCTCGGAGCACCCGTCCAGCGAGAGCGGCAGCCTCCACAACAGCCACTCCGAGAGCTACCCCAGCGGCAGGACCAGCCCGGCCAGGATGGGGATGCCGCAGGACGGGGATGCGCTGCCCAGCCCCTCGGAGGGCAGCGATGGAGGGAGGAGGATGGCCGACATCAGCGAGGCTCGCCGGAGGAGCGGCAGCCGGGACAACCTGCGGCCGGGTGGAGCTGAGAGGGAGGCGAAGCGGCGCTCGTACCCCCTCAACGTGGGCAGCCACAACGGCGGCCTCAAGGGCAGCAAGTACGACATCAACCTGGCCAGCGCCGACAGCGTGGCCGGCATGAAGACCGGCCTGTGGAAGAGCGAGACCACCGTGTGAAGGTGGGGAAGGACGGACAGACGGCGTTTTCCCGTTTTCCTCGTGCACTAGCAGGGATGGGCGGCACAGCCGGGGGGCACAGCACGACCCCGGGCCCACCCATCACCCCGAGCTTTTCCAGCAGCGGTGCAGGAATTGCAGCCGTGCTTTCATCGCTCCTGCATCTCACTTGAGATTGATCCTAAAATGCTATTTTATATTCTACAGAGGAAATGTCTATTTTTCAAAGCTATATTATTGAATGTATATATGTATAGACAGAGCCGTAGGTGACGCCAGGGCCCCGCTCCCGGCCCCGGGTGCCACGACTGCAATATTCCCGCCGAGGGACCACTCCAAGTGCCCTTCACGTGCAGGCACACAGCCCCAGGATGAGCACACTGCTTCTGGAGAGCAGCTGCTGCCTCTGGAACGTTCCTGCTGTGCCAGCCCTGGGGGCTGCGCCGTGCCAAAGCCATATTGCAAAGCCAAGCACAAGGTAAGAGGAGCCTCAACTCCAAGGTGAGGTGATTGTCTGCACTGCTTTAATGCCAGACACTAAAATAAGGGCCTGGAAAGGCTCCAGACACTAAAACCACAGCCAGAAAATGCTCCCAGGCCCTCAGAGGCTCAAGCCATGCAGTGGGGTGGGCTGGCAGACCTGTGCTGCTGCCAGGACTGACCCTCTGTGCCAAAGCACCAAAGAACCAAGAGGCGGGAGAGGCCCAGAGCAGCTCTGTGTCCTTAATCCAGGCTTCAAGCTCAGAAAATACCTAGGTTTGCTCTTAGGAAGGCAGAGACCTTTCTGGGGAGCAGGGAGCATTCCTGGGAACGCAAGAGAACGATGCCAAGGAATTGGGGACCTTCCTCGGATGGTCAAAGGGCTGGAACCTGGATAAGCACTTATTGTTCCCATTGGAAAACAAATTTCCCCTTTTCCCCAGCACACAGGTAAACCAGCCAGGCTGCAGAGGAGGAAGGTGGGAGCCTGGTGCCTCCCCTGCCTTTTCCAGCCTCTCCTGCCTCAGTTTCCCCCTCCTGCAAATGAGTTTAATGACGTAGCTACCTCCGAGGGGGCATGGGGCTGGCAGGGCCATGAGCCAGGGGAGGAAAAAAGCACTTAGTGGGGATTGGTCTCACCTGGGAACCACTCACCCCACGGGGCTGGGGCACCCCTGAGCTCAACCTGCCACTCCCTGCCCGCCTCGGCTTCTCTGCCCAGTTAAATGTTGAAATATTTCATTGTCTCTGGTATTTAACACAGTTTAAACCCTTCCTGCAGCTCTTGCAGCCTCTCCCCAGCCTGGCTGATGCCCCGTGGTTCTATTGCTTGCTGCATTGTTGACAGTATTAGAGAAAAAGCTTTGTATTCTTAATTACACTTGGTGTGTTTACAAGCGAATGACATATCAACAGAGCTTCCTGCAATATCCGGGGGGAGGGGAGGGAAATATGCCAAAGAAATGTCTTTAAAGGGGTCTTTTTGCATTTTTATATGAATAGAATGTTTCTAGCAGATCTGTTTTGTTTAATATATTAAAGATATGCCAATCTGCCAAGATCTACTGTGTGATTTCTCTCAGAGTTCACGTTCAAATGCAGTGTTTGACCCTCACAAAGTCATTCTGCTGAAGAATGAGAAGTCCAAGGTGAGGCTGCCCTGGAAAACCTGGCACCTTTTGTGCTTTTATTTACTTATAACAGAAATGTAACACGACCTGAAGCAGTCACTCCATAAAAAGCCCCATTCCCTGGGCGACTGTCCCAGCAGCACAATCGCTCTGCCCCTTGTGGGCTCCACACTTCTGGTCCCCAAACTGTCCCTCTGGGCCAGGGACACCTTCAGGACCAAGCCTTGGCCCTCCTGAAGGCTCTGATCTCCTCGGGGCTCCTCAGGTACTGCTCGATCTCGCTGTCTGAGATGGGCTCATCGCCCGTCACGGCCGCGCCCGCAGCGCTCGGGGCCGCCGCCCGCAGCCTCTTCCTGGGGTGGAGGAGGCAGGGGGGCAGCAGGGGCCTCAGGGCACCCCTCTGCTGCTGCTGCCCTGCCCAGGGAGAGCTGGGGGGACCCTGGGCTGGGCAGCTCTGGCTGGGGGAGTCCTTATTCACAGGGTCCTTATCCACGGAGCCTGCGTCCACAGAGCCCTGGCTTAGGCAGACCTGGCTCACGGAGGCTTGGCCTGGGGAATCCTGGCCTGGAGAGTCCTTATCCAGGGAGCTCTGGCTCACAGAGCCCTGGCACTCCTGGCTCACAAAGCCCGGGCCCTGGCACCCCTGGCTCACAGAGCCCTGGTTCACAGAGCCCTGGCACCCCTGGCTCACAAAGCCCAGGCCCTGGCACCCCTGGCTCACAGAGCCCTGGCACTCCTGGCTCTCAGAGCCCTGGCACTCCTGGCTCTCAGAGCCCTTGCTCACAGAGCCCTGGCACTCCTGGCTCTCAGAGCCCTGGCACTCCTGGCTCACAGAGCCCTGGCTCTCAGAGCCCTGGCACTCCTGGCTCTCAGAGCCCATGCCCAGGCCCGTGCCCTGCTGTTCCTGCTGGCTGAAGGCGCGTTTCAGCAGGAGCAGCCGGTGCTGCAGCAGGTCCCCGATGTGCTTCACCACCGTCTTCTTGTCCAGGCGGAAGCCGCGCAGCCAGGAGAGCTGGGAGGCCATCGCCAGCAGGATCTCCAGCAGCTCCTTCAGCCTCAGCTGGGCTGGAGGGGGCAGCTCCACCCCTGCCAGGCGGCAGAACCGTGCCAGGGGGCACGAGAGGCGCGGGCCAGGCCGCAGGGACTGCCAGGCCAGGAACGCCGCGGCCGTGACCACGGGCACCGGGTGCCGCCCGGTCACCAGCCACGTGGCACTGGCCAGCTCCACAATGGCCATGGTCCGGGCCACCAGCTGCTCCTTGTCCTCCAGGAAGGGCCCAGGGATGTTGGCACTGGGCTGGACCAGCCGGAAGCTGCGGGGGAAAGAGCCACGGTCAGCGGGAGCGTCGGGGACAAACACATCTGTCACTGTCATGATTTAGGGAAAAATCTCTGGGAAGCTGGAAAAATCTCTCCTGGGAAGCTGAGAAGCCTCAGAGGAAAATAAAAGCAATAATTACCTGCTGCTGTGGAAAGCAACAGGAGCATCTTTGATTGGTTTTTTCTAATTAATGGCCCATCACAGTCCAGCTGTCTCGGACTCCCTGGCCAGTCACAAGATTTTATTATCATTCCTTCCCTTTCCTTTCAAGCCTTCTGATGAAATCCTTTCTTCTATTCTTTTAGTATATAATTTTCTTTTACTATAATATATGTCATAAAATAATAAATCAGCCTTCTGAAACATGGAGTCAAGATTCTCATTTCATCCCTCATCCTGAGACTCCTGTGAACACCACCACAAATCCCTTTGCCAGGATTTCTCTCCTGGGAAGCTGAGAAGCCTCAGAGAAAAAGGAAAACAATAATTATCTCATTTGCTTCTCCTGTGTTTTGCTGCTTTGGAATGTGGTTGGAGATTGTTTCATTGGTTTCATGTGAATTGTTTTTACTTATTGGCCAATGATGGCCAAGCTGTGTTGGATTCTGAGGAGAGAGTCAGGAGTTTTCATTATTATCTTTTTAGCTTTCTGTCTGTATCCCTTCTGTATTCTTTAGTATAGTTTAGTATAGTAGAATAGAATAGAATAGAATAGAATAGAATAGAATAGAATAGAATAATAAATCAGCCTTCTAAGAACATGGAGTCAGATTCATCATTCCTCACTTCATCTGGGAACCCCAAAAATCCAAGACACACCCTGTTCCTGCCATGGCTGCTGCTTGAGGACACCAGGAGGAGTTTCTTTATGGCAAAGGTTCCCAGGCACTGGAATTGCTGCCAGGGAGGGGGTGGTGTCCCCATCCCTGGGGGTGGCTCTCAGTGCTCTGGGCTGGGTGACAATCTGGGCATCGGGCACAGGTTGGCCTCAGAGATCTTTTCCAACCTCAGAGATCTGGGATTCCCTGATCTATGGTGCCTCCCTGAGCACCTCTCTGAGGAGAATGGAGCAGGATGAGAACCACAGCCTGTGACCGTGTTCACAGAGGTCTTAGGATGAGGGAAGAGATGAGGATCCGACTCCATGTTTCAGAGGGCTTGATTTATTATTTTATGATATATATTACATTAAAACTATACTAAAAAGACTAGAAGGAAAGGTTTCATCTCAGAAGGCTAGCTAAGAATAGAAAAGAAGAGAATAATAAAGGCAGCTGCCTCAGACTCTCTGTCCGAGCCAGCTGGCTGTGATTGGCCATTAATTAGAAACAACCACGAGAGACCAATCACAGATGCACCTGTTGCATCCCACAACAGCAGATAATCAATGTTTACATTCTGTCCCTGAGGCCTCTCAGCTTCTCAGGAGGAAAAAATCTTAAGGAAAGATTTTTAATGAAAAGATGTCTGTGACAACAGCCCAGCTGTGACAAGGGAGGGACAAAAGCCAGCCCAGCCCCATCCACCCACCCAGGACAAACAAAGGCTGCCCCCTCACCTGCTCAGGTGTGTTGTCACCAGGTCTGCCAGGCTCAGGGCGGGCACAGAGAGCCCCAGCTCCCTCTGCAGGCTCAGGAAGACGCTGGCAAAGAGCTCCTGCTTGGCATAGAGCAGGGAGCACACGGTGCCCATGGTCAGCGGCCAGCGGTGCTGCCGGCACGTCACCAGCACACAGCACCCCCCCAGCAGCTCCTTCTTCTCCAGGCTGACCAGGTGGAAGGCAGGCAGCTCCAGAGCCCTCTGGAAGTAGGACACAGCCGTTTCCTCAAAGGCTGCTGGCAGCTTGAGCACCTTGCAGAGGTCCTGCACCCGCCGGATGCCTGTGGGGAAAAAGGAATTTCAATTTCTGCTCAGAACCGTTTGGAGCAGTGTGAGTTGCTGCTGGCATAGTCCAGGGTAAGCAGGCAAAAAGGACTTTTGCATAATATCTACAGATGTTTTATCTGTATCATTTTATTATCATTCCTTCCCTTTCCTTTCAAGCCTTCTGATGAAATCCTTTCTTCTATTCTTTTAGTTTATCATTTTCTTTTAATATAATATATATCATAAAATGATAAATCAGCCTTCTGAAACATGGAGTCAAGATTCTCATTTCATCCCTCATCCTGAGACTCCTGTGAACACCACCACAAATCCCTTTGCCAGGATTTCTCTCCTGGGAAGCTGAGAAGCCTCAGAGAAAAAGGAAAACAATAATTATCTCATTTGCTTCTCCTGTGTTTTGCTGCTTTGGAATGTGGTTGGAGATTGTTTCACTGGTTTCATGTGAATTGTTTTTACTTATTGGTCAATGACGGCCAAGCTGTGTTGGATTTTATTTGTATATATCTATCTGTATTTTTATCACCTGAGATGTTCAGGTGAGATGTTTAGGTCCCAGCAACCACACACAGAGAAAGCATAGAGAAAGCAGCAACACAGAGAGAGAAAGCAACCACACACACAGGGAAAGCACCCACACAAACAGAGAAAGCACAGAAAAAGCACCCACACACACAGAAAAAGCACCTACACACACACAGAAAAAGCATCCACACAGAGAAAGCACCCACACACAAAGAAAGCACAGAAAAAGCACCCACACACACACAGAGGAAGCACCCATGCCCACACAAAGCACCCTGTACCTTTCTCTCCACAGGGCCCTGGGGGCTGTCCCTGCTCTCACAAAGGTCAGGGCTGATCAGGGAATAGGAAAGGAGTGGCTCAGGGACACAGGAACAGATATAGGAGCAGGGGAAGGAGCCAATGGGGTCTAACAGCTTTTTGAGGGAAGCTTCTTGTGTCTCCCAAAACCAGCGAATGCCCCCACAGGGTCTCCACAATTCCCTGGTTTTTATATTAAAGCTTCTTTTATTATTAAAGATTTTTTGTATTAAAGCTTCTTTTATATTAAAGCTTTTTTATATTAAAGGGGTTTTTTTATATTAAAGCTTTTCTTTTATTATTAAAGCTTCTCTGAAGGATCAACTGAATCAACACAAAATGACAAAAACAAGCAGCACTCACTCAGCCCTGCAGGGCAGTAAAGCCCTCTCAGTCCCTCAAGGCAGGCAGGCACCAAGGGCCCTCTCCTGGCTCAATTCCAGGGGTTTTTGGTATTTTTCACTGTCAGAATGAGGTGAAACAAACTGGAGGACAGGGAACTGTTCTTACCTCGCTGCAGGCAGCGGCTCAGCTGCTCCTTCTGCCCGGTGCTCTGGGAATAGGCAACCTCTGGAAAACAGGGAGGGGAAATCAGTCAGGGAATGCAGGGACACAGAGGGGTCTGTCAGTCCTGCAGGGACACAGACATTTGGTTTTGGGGCCAGCAGGTGCCCACAGAACCGAACTGCAGCAATCAGAGCTGTTTGAGGGCACTGAGAGCAGCTAAAAGTGAGATCTTGGATCTCCTCTGAGCTCCAGACAGAGCCAGCAACATCCTCAGGGCTGCTCTGCTGCACTTCCAGCTTTTCTAAGAGATTCCAGTGAGATTTTAATAATATCTTTTAACAATAAGAGATTAATTCAATGGAAATTTGAGATTTCAATGAGATTTTAATAATCTCTTTTAACGATAAGAGATTCATTAAATTTCAATTTTAAAATTTCAACTGAATTCAATGTAAAGCTCATCACAGGCTCCAAGCCAAACCTGGCCGGGAATTGCTGCTGGTGGGCTGGAAACCCCCGCTGGTGTTTGGGGGCATGGAGAGAGGGGTCTGCCCGGTCTGACCCGACAGTGCCCGGTACAGAGACACAGCTCGGAGCGCATCGCTGCTCGGGCCGGCTCGGTCCTGCCCCCCCGCCCCGGTTCCGGTAGCGCACCCCTCAGATGCTCCTCGTCGGTGTAGGTGGTGGTGAGGAGCCCCTCGGACAGGACGCAGCCGCAGGCGGCACACACCAGCTGCTGCTGCGCGTAGTGCGCGTCCTCCACCAGCGAGCCCGAGCCGCACTCGGGGCACCGGCCCCGCGCCGCCATCGCTGCCGCCACGCTGGGGGACACCGGGGCGGGTGCACCGCCAACAGCCAATAGCGGCGCGGCCCGCGGTCCGTCCCCATTCCCGCCCGGCCGCGCTGTCGGCCCTGCGCGCTGCGTTCCGCACCGCGGTAGTTCCGCCGGGGATGCTCGGGGGGAGCGGGACCGAGCGGAACGCGGCCTCCTCAAAGGGGAACCGGAGCCCTCATGGCCTCCTCCTCCTCCCATCACCGCTGCCATGACGACCCCGAGTCCCTCCGCGCTCCCTGGTGGTGCTTTACAGGAACCGCCGGGGCTGCCGGTGCGGACGAGCCCATCCGAAAGGTGTCCCCAGTGTGAAAAATGCATGTATTTTATGATTGGCTTGTCGCAAATATTCAAATGAATATTATATGTGTTGTGTTAGAAAGTGATGCTGTGTTAATTCTCTGAAGTAGTGTGTTAAATATAGTTTTAGGTTATTACAAAATGTTAAAATAGAAACGATGCTATGGAGGATACTTTGTTTAAAGAAAGGACTTGCAGGGAAATTGCAGCCACAGGACACCTGAATCTTTCAGAGAAAAAGAATTTAGTGCCCACTTATCAGAAGAAATGAAATTCTTCCCACCTCGAAGGCACTGTCAGGATTCAGAGGAAGAAGTTGATGATGACCAGACAGAATCCTGTGTTTGAATGGAATTCATGCATCATGGATGAGGTGTGTGAATATGCAACACTTGAGTCTGAACATGAACTACTGTCTCAAGTGCCTTCAATCCTGACCCAGAAAAAGCCACAGCCGGAACTGCCACAGGGGATGAGCAGAGAGGCACAAGGAGGGGACAAAGCCCTTCAGAACAAATGCAGGGTGCTCACAACTCTGGGTTTAAATTGTCTTTATTTTAGTGTTCCATAAAACCAAAAAGTGTTTAAAACCAAACAAACAGTACCTGGGCTAAAAGCAGAGAGTACAAACAGGGAACATGCACGAAATCCTTCAATAACAAACAAGAGATTTGATTCTTAAGGCCCTTGAGGATATAAAATGCCAGTCCCCCCACATTAAAGGAAGGATTTAATGAGTGTTGTCAATAAAAATGAGGTGTGAGGGCTGAGGGGGCCGAGGATTGGGACCCCCCTGTGCCCCCAAGAACAGCAGAGCTGGGCTGAGCTTGGGTTTCACCCAACACCCAGGGCTGAACTGGCACAGAAAGGCTGCTCAAGTGTTAAGGCTTCATCTCTGCTAACAGCAGAATATTATTAATTTTCTGAATAATAATATTATTTTCTGAATAATAATATTATTTTCTGAATAATAATATTATTTTCTCAATAATACTATTATTTTCTCAATAATAATATTATTTTTTACTGAATAATAATAATATTATTTTCTCAATAATAATATTATTTTCTCAATAATACTATTATTTTATCAATAATACTATTATTTTATCAATAATAATATTATTTATTGCTTTGGTTCTGTGCAGGTCACTCTTCCCAGCAGAGAAAAAGTCTAAAATACAAATTGATCAGTGAAGTACAGGATCCTGTGTGCAGAGAGGAGGAAACAAATCAATCCTTCATCTTCCTCACTCGAGAAGGCACAGGAAGGACAGAACACCCTCACTGCTCAAATAACACTAAAATGAGATTAAAATACCTGAAGTCTTGCAAGACTTTCAGCTCCTAAGGCTTGTTTGAGGTCAGAGCTCAGTAAAGCTCCAGACTTTGGTAACAGGAATAAAAATGTCATTTAGAGCATTTCTTGGATTTTTCTAATAAATGTTTACATCTCTGTGCAAATCTATCAAACTGCTCCTCGCTACAAAATCCAGCATTTGGGATCGCCAGTGGTTTGTGACATTGCAAGCAGCCTGCTCACAGGGTGAGAGCTGCTCCAGCCCCCCAGTAAAGTGCTTTCCTGTAGAAAAATGGAATTAGAAACTCACCCCTGGGCCAGGAGTGACCCCATAACCCAACCATTTCCAAAGGTAGGAGTGTTATAAATAAATTCTATTTATTTCCATAGAATTAAGGCTGGAAAGCTTTAAAGCTTTGGTCCTCATGAAGCTTTGGTCCTTTGCAGGGCTCTGTTGGTTTTGCAGTTTCTCTCTGAGCCTTCCATGGACTCTCCCTACCCTGTAAATCATCCTTTGGAAGGGCCTTCAAGGTGAGCCCAGCTCCAAACCCCAAAGGATTTCTTTCTCAAAAAGGAAAAGTCACCGAGTTCCCAGAGGGCACAAGGGGTGAGAGCAGAGCACAGGGCAGAGCCAGGGCAGCCCCTGCCTGCTCTGAACAAGCTCCAGAGCAGAAATTTAAGACACTAAGAGAAAAAAAATCTGATTTAAAATGTACTTTTGGAAGACTCTTCAAGGTGAGGCCCAGCTCCAAACCCCAAAGGATTTCTGTGTAACTCAAAAGTGAAAAGTCACAGAGCCCCTAAAGGGCACAAGGGGCAGAGCCAGGGCAGCCTCTGCCTGCTCTGAACAGTCTCCTAAACAGAAATTTAAGACATCAAGAGAATAATTTCTGATTTAAAATGTACCTTTGGAAGGGCCTTCAAGGTGAGCCCAGCTCCAAACCCCAAAGAATTTCTTTCTCATAAAGGCCAAGATCACAGAGTTCCCACAGGGCACAAGAGGTGAGAGCAGAGCACGGGGCAGAGCCAGGGCAGCCCCTGCCTGCTCTGAACAAGCTCCAGAGCAGAAATTTAAGACACTAAAAGAACAATTTCTGGTTTAAAATGTACCTTTGGAAGGGCCCTCAAGGTGAGCCCCAGCTCCAAACCCCAAAGGATTTCTTTCTCAAAAAGGAAAAATCACAGAGCTCCCACAGGGCACAAGGGGTGAGAGCAGAGCATGGGGCAGAGTCAGGGCAGCCTCTGCCTGCTCTGAACAGCCTCCAAAACAGAAACTTAAGACACTAAAAGAACAATTTCTGATTTAAAATGTACCTTTGGAAGAGTCCTCAAGGTGAGCCCCAGCTCCAAACCCCAAAGGATTTCTGATTCCCTCAAAAGGGAAAAGTCACAGAGCTCCCACAAGGCACAAGGGGCCGAGCCAGGGCAGCTTCTGCCTACTCTGAACAACCTCCAGAGCAGAAATTTAAGACATAAAGAGAAAAATTTCTGGTTTAAAATGTACCTTTGGAAGGGTCTTCAAGGTGAGCCCAGCTCCAAACCCCAAAGGATTTCTTTCTCAAAAAGGAAAAGTCACAGAGCCCCTAAAGGGCACAAGGGGTGAGAGCAGAGCATGGGGCAGCCTCTGCCTGCTCTGAACAAGCTCCAGAGCAGAAATTTAAGACACTAAGAGAACAATTTCTGGTTTAAAATGTACCTTTGGCCTAAATTAATGCCATTCCTATGGTAGAAACGTACCATGAACTTCAATGTCTCCTACTCCAAAACACCTGAAAACTTTCCCCTGAAGGACTCTTGGGAATGTCCACTTGATGAGATGAACTGAGATTTGGTCAGCTTACACTCAACTTTCAGGGCATTGATTCCTTTTAAATTACAGCCCTGAAGCTGGGCCATCTTTGGACTTCTCCAGTGTAGTTAATTATTATTATTATTTTAAAAACAATCAAATCCTCAAGCTCTACTGTCCAAGGATTTATATTGCACTACAACTTCAGATGTGGAAAGAAAAGTAACTGATCTCTAAAAGCTGCTACAAAACAAAACCATTTAAAAAAAAATCTTCCTAAAGGATCATCAGTGCCTTGCTGGGAAGCAAAACACATCAAAAACCCTCCTCCTTGGCATTAATGCCTGACCTTCCCAAACAATGGGAAGAAACCAAAAAAATAAATACAGCAAGGTGACCTGATGGGACTATTAATCAATCTGAGGGTTGCTCAAGGCAGGAAGAGGAAAAACTCATTTTCTGTGAGCAGCACAAGCAGCACCAGCAGCTCCTCACCCTCCCCTGAGGGGGATCAGTCCTTGCCCACCAGACCTTTCACATCTTCCCAGCTTTTTTGTTGCCAGACACGGAGACTCTGAGGATGTTTGGGGTTTCCTCCATGACTCTGACCAGCAGGTTGTCGATGTAATCCTCGAGCTCCCTCACCTGCAGGTCCTTCCTGGTGATGGTATCCTTCTGTTTGAGCACCAGCTGGATCAGCTCATCGTGTGTCAGCTGAGCATAGGCATAGGCAGGGTCTGAGGGATCATATTTCTGCAGAGGGAGGGAGGGAAGGCAGGCTCAGAGCAGGCACAGCACATTCCAGACCAGACACACAACACACGGAGACAGCTGCTGCCAAACAAACCTGCAAAAGCTTCAAGCAGCTGCTTAGAAAGCCAAATTCAGGTTAGGCAGCAAGAAATACCCACCCAGGCCTTTGCTGGTTCTTCTTATTGCTTTGAAAAAATCTGGTTTTAAGCCTCAAGCAGCATGAGAAGAACTGGGCAGCTTGAGGTTAAAACCAGATTTTAAAATTTTCCTTTGAAAAATCTGGTTTTAAGCCTCAAGCAGCATGAGAGGTACTGGGCCAGTACCTCTCTTTTAAAACCAGATTTTAAAACCAGTCAGCTTCTGCTGACTCCTAGAACACTGCCCAGGCAGGGAGTGTGAGCACAACAGGCTCCTGACGGGCATCACACACAACTGAGGTGCAATCAGAACACCACAACACCCATTTTAAGTTTTGAACCCTTTGTTGCAAGTTTTGAACCCTTTGTTGCAAGTTTTGAACCCTTTCTCAGTCTGAATCTCTCAAATCCCATCCTCTCCCCTCTCACCAGAAGGAGGCACTGCTGTTATTTCAGTTCTAAATTCCCTATTTCCCAAAAAAAACCCTGACAGACCATAAGGAGAGCTGGGATTTTCCCTGCTGAGCCAGGGATGCTCCCAACCTTTCATTTCAGCCTGCAGGGAAGCTGTGCCTGAAGCTGGAGGTCTCTTTTGAGGGCAGGATTAAGCTGAAAGCTCCTCTCAATCCCACTTCACGAGTGTGCTCCAAGGAATTGGCTCTGCCTGAGGATTTCCCCCACAAAAAATGAGCCCCAACTCTATTTATAGGTCAGTCAGCAAAAAAATAAGAATTTTTAGACTGCTCCCACTCTTGGGGGCTGACCAAAAGGACATTCATACACAAACTCTTCAAATAAATCAAGGCTTGGGCAGTGAAATTGCCACTTCCCTCCATACCTTCACACTCATTTCCAGCAGCTTTTCATTCATGGTGCTGATGACATTCAGGTTCTTGCTCTGAGGTTTGTTTGCCATGGCATTCATTGGCTTCACAGGATGGAGTCTGCAAGAGGAAAAAAGAAAGGGTCAGGCAGGAGAGGTACCAGCAGCATGACAAAGATCTTTAGAATGAGAACAAATACAGCAAGAAATTGGGGATGATTCCCTCCCTGCTCTATCTCCTGAAAGAAAAGAGATTCAGCTTCAGGAAGACAAGGTTATTTCTAAGCCACAGGGGGTTTGTATGTATTTTAAATATTTTCCAGTTCTCTGCTATCTTTACTGACTTCAGGTGCTGGAGATAAAGCAGCAGCAGGAAGGGAAACACATCCTGTGTGTGTCACGGAAGAAAAGCCAGGTCAGGCTGCACGAGGAGACAGAACACAGGGCAGCCACTGTGATCCCTCAGAAACTGGTATTTCAGGCTGCCTTTCCTAATCAGAACATATTTGTGATCTTACAACACGCCAAATACTTCTGCTGCCCTGAGACAAGTGTCAGGCCTTGGCCAAGCTGAACTGGCACCACCAGCTGTGAGGAAGTGCTGCCATTATTTGGACTTACAGCACCAATTTTAACACAGGAACAAAATTTTACTTTTTATTCCAGCAAACACTGGTCCAGAGGTGTCCTAGACCCCAGGCTCTGGGGGTGAAGTCTCTATAGGTGAAGTCTCAAGGGCTGACAGGTCAGTGGCACCACTCCACAGAGCAGGGGATCCCTGAGGAGCCCACACAGGCAGGAAATGAAGCACCACCCCATTTATCAGGTGTCTGACAAACAGCTCAGCCCCAGGCCCTTCTGCCAGTGGGATGGAATGAATCCATTCCCCCTGCACTTTCCCTAAGCTCCCCTAAGAGCTGTGAGGAGCAGCTGCTCCCCTGAGGAGCTGCACAGACCCTCCTGGAGGCAGCAGCAGCCCCTTGGCAGCCAAGCCCTGACAAACCCAGCCCCCAGATGAAATCAGGGCTGTCCTGGCTTCATGCAGCAGCCTCAGGGACAGAAATGCACCCAGAGGGCAAAGCAAAGCTCAGAGCTGCACAGAGCTCACTGCTGTAATGCCCACATGTCTCACCTGTGCTGGGGTGACACGGTTTCACACCATTAGGGAACGTTTCAGAGGGTGAAATCCATGCCTGGAAAAGTTTCTTCTCAGGGTGCTCCCCTGAGGAGCTGCACAGACCCTCCTGCAGCCAGCAGCAGCCCCTTGGCAGCCAAGCCCTGACAAACCCAGCCCCCAGATGAAATCAGGGCTGTCCTGGCCTCCTGCAGCAGCCTCAGGGACAGAGGGCAAAGCAAAGCTCAGAGCTCACTGCTGTGACCCCCACATGTCTCACCTGTGCTGGGGAGACACGGTTTCACCCCATGGGGGGTGGTTAGGGGACGTTTCAGAGGGTGAGACCCGTGCCTGGAGAAGTTTCTTCTTGCCCGAATTTCCCGCTTTATCTGCGAAGCCCTCGGCTCTCGGCTTTTTCGGAGACTCTGCTCTACAACTCGGGGTGTCAGAGAGGAGGGAATGAGAGGAAGAGTGGGGCTGGCAAGGACTTGACAGGGAGGAAGAGAAAGCAGAAGGCTCAGAGAAGTCACACTCTGCACGCTCCTCAGCACCTGCACTCCTTTCCAGCTGCTGTTTCTCAGAATGAGTGTCACACTCCCTGGAATGAGATGTCACAGCTAAACCTGAGTCAGCTCCTTGGACAGAGACCCTGGGAGCCCCCAGTGCAGCAGGCAGCTCAGCCAAACTCCCTGGTAGCTCAGCCAAACTCCCTGGTAGCTCAGCCAAACTCCCTGGCAGCTCAGCCAAACTCCCTGGCTCACAAGCACCAGGAATGGCTCCTGCTCCTCCTCCTCCTGGAGCAGCAGCAGAGCTATCAGAGAGCTCTCTCTGCTCTCCATGCAAAGCTGTCACACCTCTGGGCTGCCCTCCATTCCCCACAACACCTCTGTCACCTGCAGGGGCCCCACAGCTGTCCTGGCAGTCCCCCAGCAGCTCCTCATCAGAGCTTCCCTCAGGGATCACGGGCAGCACCGAGCCGCGGTCTCCAGGAACAGGAAGGGCAGACCTGACATTTGTCAGACAGACAGACAAAGCATCACCACCCTCCTTTTCTACAGGCCTGCTCTGTCCTCTCTGGGGACTGACACCCCTGGGTGCCACTGCAGGGGTGACAGTGCCCAAGGAGCCCCCCTGAGCAGCTGAGGCCTCAGGGAATGGGAGCCCTGGGGTGGAGTTTGCAGCATCCCCTGGAGCAGGAGCATCAGCCTGGGGGGTCCCTGGGGGTTTCCTCAGCAGCACAGCCACTCGTGGGGCTGGCTTTGGGGGCTCCCTGCCAGCCCTCCCTGCACCCCCTTCCCCAGGGCACACCCTGCAGGCTCTGGGTGTGGGCTGGACTGGAGGAAGTGGCTGATTGCCAGCAGCTGGAGGTGCCTGGGGCTCTGACATGGGCACACGTTCTGCACACTGCTTTCCACCACAGGGCTCCTGCCCCTCCCTGAGCTCACTCCTGGGGGGTTGTGCCTGCTCAGCCTCTGGCACGAGGCTGTCACTGCACTTGGAGAGAGACACAAAACCTTTGCTCACACCAGTGGCCTCCACAGCTGCTCCATCACTGCTCCGGGTGGGATGTGTGCTGTCCCCAGAGAGCTCTGTTGATGGGTCACCCCCAAACCCTGCTGGCTCTTCTGCTGCCCCTGAACTCATCTGTAACCTCCCCCTGGGATCCAGGGGCTGCTCTCCACCTGCATCACCTGATGGAACACCCTGCCATCCCCCAAGGACAAAGGACACACATTTCCCAGGGCCTGCCTTGCTGCTTTCCACAGAACCCTCAGGCTGAAGCTGGGCAGAATCCCAGCGTGGCTCTGGAGCCAGCCCAGGGGGGTCAGACAAGGTGCCCAGAGGGTGTGGCACAGCTGTGACATCGCTGGTCAAAGCCACACGTGCAGAGCCCCCTGAAGCACCACAAGCAGGGGGTCCTGCAGAGGAACAATCCCCCCCAGCAGGAAGGCAGCAAGGGGCAGAACCAGCCTGGGCAGCTGGCACTGCCTGTGCCCCACGCCTGGACACGAAGGGATTGTTGTCATTGAAAGGACAGCCAGAGGGGACAGAAGGTGTGTGTGGGTCAGAGAGACCCTGGGAAGCCTCAGAGCCCTCAGGACCCTGCCCCCAGCCAGCAGCAAAAGGATTATTGCCCCTGGCAGAGACCTGCCCAGGAAGAGGCACTGTGGGAACAGAGGCTGCAGGATGATGGGATGAAGGGAAATGGGTGATGCTGTTGGGATCCAGGGCTCTGGGTGCCCTGTCCCACTCAGCACTAAAAGGGTTCTTGTCATTCCAGAGCTCTGCAGCAAAAGCAGGAGAAGTGAGAGAGGCAGGAGTGATGTTTTCAGAGTCTGGCACTTGGACTGTCTGCCCCGCTTCAGAAATAAAAGGATTATTGGCACTGCTGATAGGGTGCACAGACAGGAAAGCAGGGAGGGGGGCAGGTGCAAGAGTGGGAAGCGTGGCTTTGGGTTCCTCCTCTGGAGACAGGCCCAGTCTGCAAAAAGGGACAAAAAACTCGCATGTCACTTGCAGATGCAACACGAGGCAGGAACAGACAAGCTTTAGCACCAGCCTCCATCAGCTCTGCCACTGGAGATGAGCTACACCTTACAGAGACCTCAGAGAGAGGTGTCCCCTTGTCTGTGAGACTTTACAGCACCTTTATAAGCACTGGGCTTGTGCCAGAACTCTCCTGTCACAGACATCTTTTATGAAAAAGCTTTTCTTTAAGATTTTTCCTCCTGAGAAGCTGAGAAGCCTCAGGAACAAAATGTAAACATTGATTATCTGCTGCTGTGTAATGCCAACAGGTGCATCTGTGATTGGTCCATATTGGTTGTTTCTAATTAATGGCCAATCACAGTGAGCTGGCTCAGACAGAGTCCAAGCCACAAGCTTTTGTTATCATTCTTTCTTTTTCTATTCTTAGCTAGCTTTCTGATTAAATCCTTTCTTCTATTTCTTAGTATAGTTTTAATATAATATATATCATAAAATAATAAATCAAGCCTTCTGAAACATGGAGTCAGATCCTCGTCTCTTCCCTCATCCTCAGACCCCTGTGAACATGGTCACACTCTCCTGCTGCAGAGCTTGGTTTTGCTGCTTTAAGCACCCTCTCTTTGCACCCCAAGCAGGTTTGTTAGTATGTAAAACACTGCACAGGCAAGAAACTCAGACTTGAGAAGCACTGAAAGTGAGGAGTTAGGGACACACACAAAACAGAGCCTTATTAGTAGGGCACACCTACAAATATATATATTATAAACCCCATACACAATTTATATATTTGTATGAGGGATAAAGGAGCAGAATTTCTGAAAAAGCCTCGTGTACAAATCCACACCAAACCCCTCTGTGCTGCTGTGAGCAATGCCAGAAGCAGAAGGGCTCCAAGGCCACCCTTTGGGAGAGCACAGCCAAGTAGGGAAGAGGAAAGCAGAGATGTTAGAAGGGGCATTTCACACCCTGGGGAGGCTGCAGCCACACAGCTCTGACAGAGTTAGTTTGTGCAAGAGATGCAGCAAGAAAATTCACCCCTTCAGCACCTGCACAGGTGCCTCCTGAGCTAGAGAACCACTATTTCAAGGAGCACCCCCACATCCATCTTTTATTCACACTGAGGAAGAAGCTGGGAGTTTTTCTTTGCTATCAAAGCTCCCAACACCAGAGTAAAACCCATAGGCATCCACAGAGCAGCACCTGAGCTCAGGTGTGGCAGACACAGCCTGCTGCCACCTGCCACCAGCAGTGCCCACCCCACTCCTGCCAGCAGCTGGGGCTCACCTGGGTTTCACAGCTTTGGTCTTGGCTGGTGCAGCTTTCTCAGGTTTCTGTTCCTCCTCACAAGGGCTGAGCTGCTGCTTGGTTGTGATGGCCTCCTCTGCATGGTGAGCATCTCCTGAGGGGCTCCCTCTGCCCACATCTGCTGGGCCTTCAGGGCATTTGGCCTCCTCTTCACTCTTCTCTTCTGGAACTGTATTTTCCTCACTCTGCAGGGTCCTGTCAGGGAGAATCTCAGCATCGCTGGGCTTCACCATTTCCTTCTTCCCAGAGACCAGGGAGAGCAAGGCAGACTTTTTGTGGTCTGGTTTTTTGGTCTCCCTGACAGGCTCAATGCTTGGTGGAACGCTGGTGTCCAGGTGCTCCTCACTGCTGAGCAGTTTGTATGATGGCAAAGTCATGGATTTGAAGGTCTCCAAGGATGTGGAGCCAGAGAATGCCTGCCCAGGAGAGGTTCTCCCCATCTCTTCAGGTGGTTTAGTGGACCTGGAGGACAGGTTCTCCTCTGAAGCAAAGAGCTGCTTCCTCCTGAGGTTGTGAGGAGAGGGGGAGGAGGCTGGAGTCTTGTCCTTTGTTGTGGTCTCTTCCATATAGACGTGACTGCCATTGATGCACAGACTGGACTTGGACACGGGATCGTTTTTGGATTTAAGGCCACTGAACAAGGAGAGCCCATCCTTTTTGGTGTGGTTGGTGGTTCCCTGGGTTGGCTGCCTACTGTCCAAAAAGGCTGGTTTACGAGATTTGAACAGAGGAGAAGGAGCTGGCTTCTGTTCTGGCACGCTCTCAAAGGATCCTGGAGAAAAAAAACAAAACAGGGAGAAATTGAAGATGCAAGAACAATCCTTTCTCTGACACTACTGCCAGCCTCAGTGCTAGCAGGGAGGATTTGGTCAGAAAGGAGAATTTAACCAGTGCTGTGAAGAGTGCACAGAACCCTTTGGGGGAAGGTTTTGTGCCAACACTCACGTTCTGAGGCAGGGGAGGTCTGGGACTCCTCCTCATCCCACTCCCCTCATCCTCCTCATCCTCATCCCCTTTTCTACAACACTACTGCCAGCCTCAGTGCCAGCAGGGACTTTCTGTGGATTTGGTCAGAAAGGAGAATTTAACCAGTGCTGTGAAGAGTGTAAAGAACCCATTGGGGGAAGGTTGTGTGCCAACACTCACGTTCTGAGGCAGGAGAGGTCTGGGACTCCTCCTCCTCATCCCACTGTGCCTGGAAGTCGCTGGGCCGCAGCCGAACCCTCGGGGTGAGGGGCTGCTGGGTGGGCAGCACTGACATGGACTGGGACAGCGACGTCTTCTGCAGGCCAGGCTTGGAGAACAGCGCTTTGAACTTGGATTTCTTCTTCTCCTTCTCCACTGCCTCATCCTCGCTGTCAGCAGGGGAGTGGGAGGTGCCGGGGACGATGGCTGATGCTGTGTCTGAGAGGCCACTGCTCCTCTTGCCCTTGAGTTTGTCTTTGAGCTTCCCAAAGGGAGAGCGGGGCTTGTCCTTCATGGACAGATCAAACATGCTGGCTGTCATGTTGCTCCTCATGAACTGGATGTCCACCTCGATCTCCCCTCTCTCCTTTTCCTTTTTCCCAGGTTTGGAGCGAAGCTTGTACCACCTGCAGCAACAAGGAGGTTTCTTTAACCACCAGTGTCACAGACATCTTGTATGAAAAATCCTTTCCTTAGGATTTTTCCTCCTGAGAAGCTGAGAAGCCTCAGGAACAAAATGTAAACAATGGTTATCTGCTGCTGTGGAATGCAACAGGTGCATCTGTAATTGGTCTCATGGGGTTGTTTCTAATTAATGGCCAATCACAGTGAGCCACAAACCTTTGTTATCATTCTTTCCTATTCTATTCTTAGCCAGCCTTCTGATGAAATCCTTTCCTCTATTCTTTTAGCATAATTTTAATATAATATATATAATAAAATAATCAATCAAGCCTTCTGAAACATGGAGTCAGATCCTCGTCTCTTCCCTCATCCCTGTGAACAGTCACACACCAGTAATTGAGAACACAGAAAGTTCTTATGGCTGAAAAATCAAATCAGCCCACAGTGTAGGAAAAGAAAGACTTTAATCTTATGGTGACGTCACCTTCACAGCCCCAGGTGCCAAAGAAAACATTCCTTATCATACCAAAGTTATTAATAAGATTTGGTTTTAAACCAGATAAGGAAGGGTTAAAAAAAAAAAGGAGAAAAAACAGAGGCACAAGATGGAATTCCTGCATTTCAGCTCAGCCACTCTCCTCTGCCCTTTCATCTCTCCTCCTGACACTGGCAGGGGCCACAGCTTTGAAGTGGAGCAGAGCAGCAGCCTCAGAGCTGCACACGCTGTCCCACGCCCTCATACCTTTCATTCCAGCTCCTTAATGCCTGCTAAGCCAAGGAACCCCTAATCAAGAGCAGAGAGCCAACCCCAGGCTCCCAGAGCTCGGGCATTTCCACTCCCCTCCGCAGGCTCGTGACTGGCACGCACCAGGAAGGGCATTGCTCGGGCAGAGCCCTCTCCCTCCCCACACACAGCTCCCCAACAGTGCCCAGGGCATCCCAAACCACAATCCCACCACCCACACGCCCTCAAACACCCCTTGGTGACACTCAAACCACATCTGAGGCAGCAGAGAGGATGAGCAGCACTGCACACCAGGATGGTTTTGTTTGTTGATGGAACCACAGCATTCTCAACCCCACAGAATCCATAGGAAAGGGCATTGCTCGGGCACAGCCCTCTCCCTCCCCAAAAACAGCTCCCCAACAGTGCCCAGGGCATCCCAAACCACAATCCCACCACCCACACGCCCTCAAACACCCCTTGGTGACACTCAAACCACATCTGAGGCAGCTCAGAGGATGCGCAGCACTGCACACCAGGATGGTTTTGTTTGTTGTAGCATTCCCAACCCCACAGAACCCATAGGAAAGGCTGCCTGGAAACTGATTGGTTTCTTCCTCCAAATAAAGGCAGCAAACAGAGCATGCAAATGTGCCCTGCCATCAAATTTGCACTTCAACCTCCAAAGGTATACTGGAAGCAATAAAAAGAGAACAGGAAAAGGTGACTTGCTCCAGAGAAAATGCAAAACTAAAGGGGATAACTGAAGGAGATGGATTCAGGAATCTGCTACACTTCAGAGGGAAATGTGGAAGAAATTCTTCCCTCTGAGGGTGGTGAGGGCGTGGTCCTGGAGAAAAATGTCTGTCCTGTCCCTCAAAGTGTTCAAGGCCAGGTTTGGAGCAATGTTCTAGTGGAAGCTGTCCCTAGGCAGGGAAGGGGGTGGAACAAGATGGGTTTTAAGGTCCATTCTGGGATTCTGTGACTCTGGGACTCTGTGACTCTAAACGAACTGGGCTTAGAAGACAACCAAGGAAGGGTTTCTATCAGGAGACCAAGGCTTTGCCCAGTCCCTGGAGCTGCAGCAGCCCCACAATCACAACCCCTGTGCCTTTAACACGAGCCAGCACTGGGCACTGCTGTTCCAAAGTGATTTCTAGGAGCATCCCGTGCCACAATCGATCCCGTGTGTTCAGCAAAGGCAGCTCAGCTGAAAGCAGCACCCCTGGGCGTGCCTGGAAGGAAATCACCGATTGACAACCCCCAAAGCACAAAAAAACAAATCTCATTAGTGGCATTTATGGTGTTAGCAAGCACCTGTCCATCAACATTATCTATTTTCCAAATAAAACTACTCCTTTATGGCTACACATCACCATGGCAGCAAGAACAAAACAGGCTTCAAACAGGAAACCGAAGGCTACAAACAACTGAAAACACCAGAAATTTCCCCAGGAGCACCAAAGCTGTGTTTTGTTCGTTTTTTTTTTATTCTCCCTCTCAATTTTCCTTTGCCCAGACACAAAGGAATGCCTGGGAGCCCTGAGGCACCAGCCCTGAGCTCTGCTGACCAAGGGGCTCTGCAGTGTAAACACAGCCCAGTCTGACACAGCCTTAATGAACCTAATTAAGCCTTGATGAGCGGGACGGCTCGGCGGTGCTCAGGTGAGGCAGAGGAGGAGGAAGGTGAGTCACCAGCACATTACAAGGCTGCTGACTCCCAGTAAAACCCTCCCGGGCACCACCCCTGGGTTTCACCGTGCCCGTGTTCAAAGCAGCGAGTGTGTGACACAGAGCTGGAGCTGGCCCGTGGAAGGTGGAATTATCCACCCTGACACGCTTCAAGTGTTTGTTAGCAAAAATTAATTAGTGTTCAGGCCGTGCTGGAAGGGGCAGCACTCTGAGGACATCAGGTTTTGGGGGTCAGGCTGGCTGTTGTCTCTGTAGTGTCAGCGTTTGAAAATCAAACCCAAGGACCAGGCAGGACTGGATGGAAAAGTTGTCTCTGCACCCCCAGCCTCTTCCAGGGGAAGGCATTCCCCAGCTGTGGGGGCTCATAGGGGTGGGATGCACAGGTCCCCTCTAAACCTCTCCATGAGCCTGAGAGGCACCCCAAAACCTCCTCTCCATCCTCTGCAGGACCCAGAGGGGCCTCTCCATCCTTCTCCTCAGGTCCTGTGGGACACACAAATCCCCTCATCCCTCTCCCAGACCTCCGTGGGACGCCCCCAATCTCTCCATGACCCCCGTGGGCCTGAGAGACCCCCCCAAAACCTCTCCATTCTTCTCCGCAGCTCCTGTGGGGCACAGGAATCCCCTCAAAAACACCTCCATGACCCCCGTGGGCCCCCAGAACCTCCTCTCCATGACCCTGAGGGGCCTCTCCTTCCTTCTCCCCAGCTCCCGTGGGGCACAGAAATCCCCTCACCATCCTCCCGAGCACCCGTGGGGTTCAGGAATCCCCTCATGGCTCTCCCAGCCCTCCGTGGGGCGCACAGGTCCCCTCCAAACCCCTCCATGACCCCGAGAGCCCCCCCAAAACCTCCTCTCCATCCTCCGCATGACCCAAAGAAGTCTCTCCTTCCTCCTCCCCAGCCGCCCTGGGACACCGCAGCCCTCACACCCCTCTCCCTGCGGCTCCCGCTCCCTCCCGGAGCCCCCCGGTCGCACCTGGTGTGCCGCCGGCCGCCGTCCTCCCTCAGCGGGCCCAGCTCCACCTCGGCGCGGCCCAGGAACTTGTCGGCGCCGGTGAGGGCGCGGTGCAGCACGGTGAGGCGCAGCGCGGCGGCCTTGGCGGGCAGCTCGAACGTGGCCTCCTCCCGCCACAGCGGCTCGCCCCGGCAGCGCTCGGCCACCGACGTGCGGAATTTGTCGCGGCCCAGCGCCATCACCGCGTACGCGTCGCTGCCGCCCGCCGCCGCCTTGGCGCGCAGCCCCCGCGCCCGCAGCACCGTCACCCGCACGTGGGTGGGCGCCCAGCCCGGGGCCGCCATGGCTGCGGGAGAGCGAGCGAGCGGCGGCACCGGGGACGGGGACGGGCCGAGAATGCGGCGGGACGGGACGGGACGGGAGCGGCGGCGGCGGCGGGCAGGGAGCACCGCCCCGCCCCTCTCGCGAGAGCGCGGAAAGGGCGGGGCCTGAGGGGCGGGGCCTGGGCGGACAGGTGGGTACAGGTGAGTGTGTACAGGTGTGTACAGGTGTGTACAGGTGTATATAGGTGTGTACAGGTGTGTACAGGTGTGTACAGGTGTATATCTGTGTGTACAGGTGTGTACTGTGAGTACAGGTGAGTACAGGTATGTACAGGTGTGTGCAGGTGTGTGCAGGTGAGTAGAGGTGTGTACAGGTGAATGTGTACAGGTGGGTACAGCTGTGTATAGGTGGGTACAGGTGTGTGCAGGTGAGTGCAGGTGAGTACAGGTGAATGTGTACAGGTGAGTGCAGGTGTGTGCAGGTGAGTGTGTACAGGTGGGTACAGGTGTGTACAGGTGGGTACAGGTGAGTACAGGTGTGTGCAGATGTGTGCAGGTGTATATAGGTGTGTACAGGTGTGTACAGGTGTGTACAGGTGTATATAGGTGTGTACAGGTGTGTACAGGTGTATATCTGTGTGTACAGGTGTGTACAGGTGTGTACTGTGAGTACAGGTGAGTACAGGTGTGTATAGGTGAGTACAGGTATGTACAGGTGTGTGCAGGTGTGTGCAGGTGAGTAGAGGTGTGTACAGGTGAATGTGTACAGGTGGGTACAGCTGTGTATAGGTGGGTACAGGTGTGTGCAGGTGAGTGCAGGTGTGTGCAGGTGAATGTGTGCAGGTGTGTGCAGGTGTGTACAGGTGAGTACAGGTGAATGTGTACAGGTGAGTGCAGGTGTGTGCAGGTGAGTGTGTACAGGTGGGTACAGGTGTGTACAGGTGGGTACAGGTGAGTACAGGTGTGTGCAGGTGAGTGTGTATAGGTGAGTACAGGTGCGTGCAGGTGAGTACAGGTGAGTGAGGACAGGTGTCTATGCATGGGTGTGTACAGGTGGGTACAGGTGTGTACAGGTGCATATAGGTGTGTACAGGTGAGTACAGGTGTCTCTGCATGGGTAGGTACAGGTGAGTACAGGTGGGTACAGGTGTGTATAGGTGAGTACAGGTGTCTCTGCATGGGTGTGTACAGGTGAGTACAGGAGTGTACAGGTGTCTCTGCATGGGTGTGTACAGGTGGGTACAGGTGTGTATAGGTGAGTACATGTGTGTACAGGTAAGTACAGATGTCTCTGAATGGGTTTGTACAGGTGAGTGTGCACAGGTGTATACAGGTGACGATTTACAGGTGTCTATCCATGGGTGTGTACACATGTGTACAGGTGAGTACAGGTGAATACAGATAAGTATGTACAGGTGAGTATGTTCAGGTGTCTATGCCTGGCAAAGTACAGGTGAGTGTGTACAGGTGAGTTTGTACAGGTGAGTGCAGGTGTATATGTACAAGTGTGTACAGGTGAGTGAGTACAGGCGTATGTGTACAGGTGTGTACAGGTGCCTGCAGGGACACCCCGCAGCATCCCAGGTTGGGTTTCTGGGCAGGTGCTGGCATTTCCCTGGCACAGGAGGTGGCACCGGGCAGCTCCGGCAGCTCCAGCCCAGCTCTTCCCTGCCAGCCACGGCCCCGGGAGGGGATGGAGCCCCCGAACCTCCGGGAACTGCACATGGAGCAGGGAACAGCACATGGAACAGCACATGGAGCAGAGAACAACACCTGGAACACACCTGGAGCAGGGAACAACACCTGGAACACACCTGGAGCAGGGAACAACACCTGGAGCAGTACCTGGAGCAGGGAACTGCACATGGAGCAGAGAACAGCACCTGGAGGAGCACCCGCTGCTCAGGACAGATGTGGAGGCACCGCAGAGATCCAGAGGTTTATTTCACACGGCAGAGGGGACACAAACCGGGACAAAAACTGTGCGGTCACTGAACATCCTGTGGCAGCAGCTGTGCCCAGAGGTGCTGCGGGGCAGGGCACGTCTGCACGGTGCGAGATGAGAATGAGAATCCACCTCCTGTCCCCCAGTCTGTCCCAAACCAGAGGGGGAAACTGCCGAGACACCCGACACGATCCCGGTTCCTGCGTTTGGAAGTGCTCCCGTGCATTCCCCTGAGCTCTCTCCCTTTGCCGGAGGGATTGCACTCAGCCCTGGGCAGGGATGGAAACCCTGGGAAGGGCTTGAGCCTGCAGGAGGCTCCTCTGTCCTTCTCAGCACACTGTCCGAAACTGGCCAAGCCTGGGACAACGGCGTCCTTTGTCCTTCAAGAACGCAGAGCTGGCATTCTCCACATCCCTCTGCCAGCCGTGCCAGGAGCACCCAGATGGGAGTTTGTCCTGTCCACACATCCCTGAGGCTGTGCTGCCACTTTTTGAGCAGCTCCTGAGCTTCTCCCCAGCTCCAGGTCTGCAGCACCGACGGCACGAAGGAGCTGGTGCTGTCCCAGGGAGAACCTCCTCCTCTTCCTCCTCCTCTCTGGGTCCTGCCAGCACCGTCACCCCTGGCGCTGCTTCTGCCACCCCGACCCTGCAAGGAGAGGGTGGGAGGTGACACAGTGCCCACCCAGCAGAGGGTGGGAGGTGACACAGTGCCCACCCAGCAGGCTCGGCTGGGGACAGGGACCCGCGGCCACCACCCCGGCGGGCACAGAAGGGATTTGGGAGCGCCAGGCACCAGCACAGGGAGGGTTAAAGCGGCTCTGGCCGGGCTGATCCGGACTCACATGCCCGGAGCCGGGCAGCAGCCCGGGGCTGGCTCTGCTCCCCGGGGAGGGCGGCGGCCAAGGCGGGCAGAGGAGAGGCCGGGGCGGTGATGATGATGATGATGATGATGATGACGACCCGGCCGGGGGAAGCGCTCTCCTCCCATCTCTCGGCTGCTCCGAGTCAGTCGGATGGACCCGAGGGAGTCTCTCCGCCAGCAAACCTGAAATGGGGGAGCGCTGGGTGAGACCCCAGACCCTCCCACCATCCAGTGCCCCGTGTGCCCAGCATGGGTGAATCCTGCCCAGGGAACACCTCCGGCACCTCTACCTGCACATTTCTAGCAAGAAACCTATCCTGCCCTCAGGCATCAGGAGAGAAACACGGTTAAAATCCAGAAGAACTCCAATTTTGTCATACTAATAAAAAAACTCTGTGTGGAAAAACCCAACCTTGCAATTGGAGGTGGAAATCTGTGTCAGGGTGCTGGCAGGGCAGAACCACAGCATGGGTGTCCCCATCACTCCTGCCCACCCTTGCCAGCCTGTGCCATGCCCCTAGCATCCCCTGCCATCCCTGCCAGCCCCTGCCATCCCTGCCATCCCTGCCATCCCTGCCAGCCCCTGCCCCCTGCTCTGAGCGGGCTGCCGGCTCCGGGAGCGCATTTCCCGTCATGGAACACGGGATGAAATGAATTCCCTTCCCAGATTTACACCGCTGGAGGGCAAAGCAACCTGCAGAGCCCAGAGCGGCCAGGGCAGCCGGAGTGCCTCGCTGAGGAGTGGGTCACTGAGTTTTCCTTCTTTAGCAGCCCAAAGTGGGATCGGGAGAAGGGGAAAATAAATGCCAGGCTTGGGGACATTCAGCTGCTTTGCTTCGCTGTTCACCACCCGTGTTCCCTTTAGCCAGGAACCGCAGAGCAGGTCCTGGCGGGCTGGAGTGGGACTGGTTGGGACCCCATTTCTGCAGCCCAGCAGAGAGGCCAGAATTTTAGGGGAACATCAAGGAGCAGGGCAATGGTGCCCAGTCCCCCATCCCAGAGCCTTTCCCATGCACCCCGGGGTCTGCCTGCTACCCCAGCACCGACCTCAAAGGGCTGGAGTGGAACTGGTTGGGACCCCAATTTTGCAGCCCAGCAGAGGGGCCAGAGTTTGAGGGGAGCATCAGGGAGCAGGGCAATGGTGCCCAGTCCCCCATCCCAGAGCCTCTCCCATGCACCGACAGCCCCCCAGTCACACCCTAAAGGGCTGCAGTGGGACTGGCTGGGACCCCATTTCTGCAGCCCAGTGAGGGGCCAGAGTTTGAGGGGAGCATCAGGGAGCAGGGCAATGGTGCCCAGTCCCACATCCCAGAGCCTCTCCCGTGTACCCCAGGGTCTGCCTGCTCCCCCAGCACCGACCCCAAAGGGCTGCACCGAACCCCCCAAGCCCCTCCCAAGCAAATACCTACTCATGCAGCTGGGAACACAGAGAGCTCTGCGCTCCCTGCAGCCGGGACTCGCCCGGGGGGCGCTGCCGGTGGGGCAGAGGAGCCTCCTCCCTCCTGCCCTCACCATCCTCCCCGAGGGCCGCCTTGCTGGCCCCTGTGGGTCCCCCCCGAGGGCTGAAGGCACAGGGGCAGCGCTGCAGGTCCCGTGAGACGGCGTGGAGCCGGCGGTCAGCGCGGCGGGGGCAGCACAGCAGCTTGCGGAAGGCGCTCCTGAAGTCGGGGCTGCGGCAGTAGATGATGGGGTTGAAGGCCGAGTTGACGTAGCCCAGCCAGTTGAGGAAGAGGAAGAGCTGATCCGGCACCAGCGAGCGGCAGAAGACCTTGATGATGTTGGCCACGAAGAAGGGCAGCCAGCAGAGCGTGAAGACGCCCATGATGATGCCCAAGGTCTTGAGAGCCTTGTGCTCCTTGATGGCCGACAGGCGTGAGGGCCTCCTGCGCCGGCCGCTCCGGCCCGTGGGGCTCGGCGGCTCCTGCACGAACCTCACCTTGTCCCTGCCGATGAGCCGGACGTGCCGCGAGGCCACGGCGAAAACCCGCACGTACACGAAGGCCATGACGAGCAGCGGCACGTAGAAGGAGATGGTGGACGACACGATGGCGTAGGTGACGTTGGTGACGAAGTCGCAGCACCGCGGGTCCTCGTAGCAGCGCGCCGCCCGCTCGTCCCCTCCGTCCCTCCACCAGTGGTTCATGATGGGGAGGAAGGAGATGAAGGCAGAGATGGCCCACACCAAGCACACCACGGCCCGGGCGCGGCCCTTGGT